AAAATCTGCTAAGTGTAGAAAATAAGGCTCTACTTTACCAGGACCAGCTGATTTAGAGGTGTTCAAGAGCCTCAGGGCTTTATGCAGCTCACAGGCAGAGAAAGGAGTAAAACTAAAGGACTGGTCTGGTAAGGGATAACCATCAGACCAACATGTAGCAGTTATGTTAACAGAATCAAATAATGAACCTGAGGCTATGAAGTGTTCATTAAAACAACTCAACATTTCTGCCTTATCAGAAATGTGGATCAAATCTTTCACAATGCGAGGTGGCAGAATGATTCTCATCCAAAGATTTGATAGTTTTCAAAAATTTTTTAAGGATTGTTCAAGTTTTTAAAGAATTGTTTGGGTAAGAAAATGAGGAGCTCTGGCTTTCAGTGCAGGAGTTTCCAAGCTGCCTAAACTGCAGCCAGTCAGTGTTGCTGTTAGTTTTTCTGGCTTTTGCCCAGGCAAGGTTTCACTCATAAACCGAATCTGCTAAACCAGGAGTGAACCAAGGATTACTCCGTCCTATATGGTTTGTGAATCTCTAAAACACTGACAGTTCTGTGTTTCTGGCTGTGCATTTCTATTTTCATGCACCTTCATCAATCATCAGGCGTGACCTGAGGCCGTCATCGATGTCTAAATCATCACTAATTCACTTTAATGAAGACGAACATCAGCTCACGTGATGGTTTCGTCTTCATCATCAAACTTGACTCAAGTCAAAAAGCCGATCAAACTTTTTTGACGCCAGAAAAACGACAGAAGAACAAAATTTTTTTTGGTTTTTAAATCAAGCAGCAGATTCTTTTCTGAATGTTTTATATATAATATTTCTGAATATTCACATTACTATTAATAGAAAAAAAAAAAGAAAGAAAAGCTAAATCAAATGCTTTATAAGTATTTTATTGTTTGGTCTGTAAAACATCAGAAAATGGTGAAAAATGTCCATCTGTGTTTCCAGAACCTAAAATATATAACAATATATAAAATAATACATAAAAGATATTCAGTTTACTGCCACAGAGGAGGAAAGAAAACAGAAAATATTCACATTTAAAAAGCAGCATTCAGCGGAATTAGACTTTTAAACAGCTTTAAAATTCCTCCAAATACTTTCTGTTGAATCTAAAAGTCGACAACGAATCAATTAATCCTGCAGCTGTAACTTGTCTCATACGTTCAGGTGATAATGTGAAGTTTGAAGTTGACAAACAGAGCCTGGTTCTGTCAGAGATCTATCTATCTATCTATCTATCTATCTATCTATCTATCTATCTATCTATCTATCTATCTATCTGTCTATCTGTCTATCTATCTATCTATCTATCTATCTATCTATCTATCTATCTATCTATCTATCTATCTATCTGTCTATCTGTCTATCTGTCTATCTGTCTATCCGTCTGTCCGTCCGTCCGTCCGTCCGTCCGTCCGTCCGTCCGTCCGTCCGACCGACCGACCGACCGACCGACCTACCTACCTACCTACCTACCTACCTACCTACCTACCTACCTACCTACCTACCTACCTACCTTGAAGTGATTTGTTAACATGAGTGGTATCACAATGAGTCCACAAGAGAGCAGCACAGGATTACAACTTTACATACAAGCTGGAGAAGTAAAACGATGTGGACTAAACAATGGATTAATTACCTTTAAGCTACGTTCTATCTAGAAAGACGGGGAAACAATGCTGTAAACCACATTGCTTCTCTGTTTCATCCAAAATTACAAATCGTTGTGAGACAACAGTAATCATTTGCGCAACACACAAGTGATTTCTTGAAGAGGTGTTTATTATTTTTATTTTAACGTCAGCCTTTCTGCAAACATGCAAGACAATATTTTAGAAAATCCTGGGAGACAGAGAGAAAGTTACAGAGAGCAGCATCAGAGTGAAACCAGTGTGATGGTCCCAGTGAGCAAGGTCAGGACTGGGGGCACTGGTCTCTGAGGGAGGGACAAAGTCCACCCACTGCAGAGAGACAGAACAGGTTTTAGGCAAACTGGATCAAACTGCTGTTCAGTGTTTCACTTCCTCTCTGAACTCAGTAACCATGGCGACAGACAGGCATCACTGATGAACCAGGACAACAGACAGGTTTCAGTACTGAAGATGAAAATGATCAAGTGGCGTTTTCGTTCTCTCAAGTTTTAATGTTCAGTCTGCAAACTATNTTGTTCTCTCACATCACAGATCCTGAACCCAGTCAGTCGTCTGTCGGCATCTTCAACCAGTTTTACTCTGGACAGAAACCAAACCTGCAGAGTTCAGGTAAACGGCACTAAACAGACACTCGGGGGGGAAATCTGTGAAAACATTTGTACCGTTTGCTAATTTTTATCACTATCTGCTCATTCAAAGATGACGACGACCTTTATTCTCCTGTGAGTCCCGACTGAGAACTTCATCTGAGGACGACGAAGACTCGACTCCTCAGACTGACGAGGTTACTGCAGGTCACCGAGACAGAGAGTGAAGGACGGACGGAGAACCAGAAAGGACACCTGAGCTGAAAGATCAAACTGCTGTTTTTATTTTAACCTATTTAATATATAAGAAAAGACATTAATGAGGCTAAAACTCCTGAAACTGTTGTTTTAACAGCGTTTGCTGGAGTTAAATGTGGTCATTTGGACTGAAATCTGTCTTTTAACCAAATTTGACTGACTTTTGAGCTTCTACACACGTGGACAAAATAGTTGGTACCCCTCAGTTAATGAAAGAAATAACCTGAATCTGACAAAAGTAATAATAAATAAAAATTCTAGGAAAATTAACCAATGAAAATCAGACATTGCTTTTGAACTGTGGTTTAACAGAATTATTTAAAAAAAATAAACTCATGAAACGGGTCGGTACCAACAATTTTGTCCACATGTGTATTCAATAAATGGCTGATTCCTGAGAAACACAATATGTTTCATGTACAGTTGTTAAAAATCGGATTTACCTCCAGCAGTTAATCCATCAGAGTGAACAAACAGCAGATTCTGGCTGCAAAATCCGTCTCACTGCTGCAGTTTGGTGTCAAAGATCAAACCCTGGAGACAAACCACAAGCAAATTTAGATCAGTGAAAAGGAAAATATGTTATTTTGCTCGTTTTGTGCATCGAAAAGTTTTAGTTTGCGCTAAAATTCATCTTGTCAACTGAGCTTTTGCAGCTCAATAATTTATTTATTTAACCAGGAAAAGGCTCATTGAGATTAAAAATCTCTTTTTCAAGAGTGTTCTGGACCAGACAGGCAGCAGCACAACTGACAGACAGACGAGGTCACAATAGCATCCACACAGACATCATTACTCATAACTCATGGTGAGATTACATTTAGAAGATAAGAAATCAACATATCAGCAGAGATCAGAATCATAACGAGCAAAATAATCTGTCTAAACATCAACAGACTGATGATTTTGCCTCCAAGTCATTTACAAACACTTTAGAAGTGTTTGAAGAAACCAGCTCTTGCAGTTTCAGATCTTTTTTGTAAAGTGTTCCAGGTGGAGGGAGCCGTGGATTTAAAAGCTTTCTTTCCCCGTTCGGTTCTAGCCTTGGGAACAGACAGTAACAGTAGATCCTGGGACCTCAGACTGTAACCGCCAGGAGCTTTTGTACAAATAAAAACCTGTAAATAACGAGGAAGCAAGCCTAAAATACATTTATAAATTAAAACATGCCTGTGTTTTTTCCTTTGTGTGGTCAAATCTGAGCATCCAACACGAGAGAACAACAAACAATGACGAGTAAGAGACTTAAAATTAGTGATAAACCTTAAAGCAGCGTGATAAAGTGAATCCAAAACACTCAGGCTTTGAGCGGAAGCATTCATATATACCAACACAGACATAAAAGTGGCAGCAGCAAGTCTCGTTTTGGCCTCGAGGGACAGGCAGGACTTGATTCTTCAGTTTTAGTCTCTTTGCCAGCTGCTGGACGTGAGGTGTGAAGGAGAGGCAGTGATCGATTAAAATTCCAAGGTATCTACACTGAGACACTATTTCAGTCTGAGAAGAAGCGGTTGCAGGCAGGTTCTGTGGTTTTGACTTTGAGAACAACATGAATTATGTTTTGCTTGAATTTAAAACAAGTTTTAGGTCATAGAAGTTTGATTGGACGATATTAAAAGCAGTTTGCAGCTGGGGTAGAGCCAGTTCTGGTGTGGATGCTGAGGTGTGTATCACAGTATCATCTGCATAGAAATGAAAATTGGCATTGGAAACATTGTCAGTAATGTTATTTATGTATATGATAAAGAGGAGTGGTCCTAGAACCGACCCCTGTGGAACGCCCTTGGTCATTTCTAACCAGCTGGAAGTGAGGCCGTTTGCTTGTACACACTGAGTTCTACGTGAGAGATAGTTGTCAAACCAGTTGACACAATACGGAGACAGTCCGATTCTGTGACGTCTTGGTTTTAGAAGTGTGTGATCAGCTGTATCAAAGGCTTTGGAGAGGTCGAAAAGAGCTGCACAACGATGCTCACCGTCAACAGAGTCAATGAAGTCATTTATTACGTTTAAAGCTGCAACCAGATTGATAAACAGATAAAATATTAAGACAGACAGTTTGGAGATGTAATTATTCAGTACTGAGGGGAGAACATACGCAGATTTCCATCTACTGGGGATTTCATTGGTTAGAAGAGACAGGTTAAAGATATGTGTTAAAGGTGGAGCAATAAAATCAGCTGCTAAGTGTAGAAAATAAGGCTCTACTTTACCAGGACCAGCTGATTTAGAGGTGTTCAAGAGCCTCAGGGCTTTATGCAGCTCACAGGCAGAGAAAGGAGTAAAACTAAAGGACTGGTCTGGTAAGGGATAACCATCAGACCAACATGTAGCAGTTATGTTAACAGAATCAAATAATGAACCTGAGGCTATGAAGTGTTCATTAAAACAACTCAACATTTCTGCCTTATCAGAAATGTGGATCAAATCTTTCACAATGCGAGGTGGCAGAATGATTCTCATCCAAAGATTTGATAGTTTTCAAAAATTTTTTAAGGATTGTTCAAGTTTTTAAAGAATTGTTTGGGTAAGAAAATGAGGAGCTCTGGCTTTCAGTGCAGGAGTTTCCAAGCTGCCTAAACTGCAGCCAGTCAGTGTTGCTGTTAGTTTTTCTGGCTTTTGCCCAGGCAAGGTTTCACTCATAAACCGAATCTGCTAAACCAGGAGTGAACCAAGGATTACTCCGTCCTATATGGTTTGTGAATCTCTAAAACACTGACAGTTCTGTGTTTCTGGCTGTGCATTTCTATTTTCATGCACCTTCATCAATCATCAGGCGTGACCTGAGGCCGTCATCGATGTCTAAATCATCACTAATTCACTTTAATGAAGACGAACATCAGCTCACGTGATGGTTTCGTCTTCATCATCAAACTTGACTCAAGTCAAAAAGCCGATCAAACTTTTTTGACGCCAGAAAAACGACAGAAGAACAAAATTTTTGGTTTTTAAATCAAGCAGCAGATTCTTTTCTGAATGTTTTATATATAATATTTCTGAATATTCACATTACTATTAATAGAAAAAAAACATAGAAATAAAAGCTAAATCAAGTGCTTTATAAGTATTTTATTGTTTGATCTGTAAAACATCAGAAAATGGTGGAAAATGTCCATCTGTGTTTCCAGAACCTAAAATATATAACAATATATAAAATAATACATAAAAGATATTCAGTTTACTGCCACAGAGGAGGAAAGAAAACAGAAAATATTCACATTTAAAAAGCAGCATTCAGCGGAATTAGACTTTTAAACAGCTTTAAAATTCCTCCAAATACTTTCTGTTGAATCTAAAAGTCGACAACGAATCAATTAATCCTGCAGCTGTAACTTGTCTCATACGTTCAGGTGATAATGTGAAGTTTGAAGTTGACAAACAGAGCCTGGTTCTGTCAGAGATC